ATACCACTTTCGTGTATACTCATGCGTAGAAATAAACACAGAAAAACGTGCGTTTACGTGACGTCACAAAGAGGCTGCAGCGACGTTAGTAAAAATGCAAAGATATAAGGCGGCGGGAATTTCAAATATTGAATATGTATGTTTTAGTTGCTTCCGAACATGTAAATTGTAAATATAAGAGTATATATAGCCCGTTTCATGACATATATGTATACTTGAGAACTCGTCATCAATAAATTATCGATAATTTTAAACAGATTTTCTCTAATTTTTACTGTCCTAACAAAGGAAATAATACAAATATCTTTTGATTGTGACGCAAATTGTGTCTTGTGAAATTATTTACACATAGATATGTATGTATAATTCCTATATATAAAACCATAAATATGTTTCTTTAAAGCATCGTTAAACACACTTTGTATATAGCAAAAGAAATCTAACAAAATACTGTTTAATTAAAAATCAATTCTTTTAATAAAGCAATGCTTAATTTTCAGCAAAAAAACCATACAATATGTGTTTTATGGTTAAATTGAATTGAAAAAAAAAAATATATTTTTGTTTTGAATTAATCATTTTAAAAAAATGACAAAAATCAATGAAGAACAGTAAACTTGTCTCACAAAGTTCCATTAAGGATATTAATTTGTTCCTTTATTCAACAAATTCCTGCAGAAATTACCAGTTTTAGTTTTTACAAATAGCATTTTTCGATGACGCAGGCGTACCACTGAACCCTCTCGCACTCTCGACTATTCCTCTGACGAATTCCACTTGCGTCTCTACCGCCGCCTCTTCGTTACCACATATTGCCTCTACGGCAGATCGAGCTTGGGAGACGATTGGACATCGCTTGGAAAATTCTTCCTGTGTTCTCCGGGCTCCCTCAACATCGCCACCAAGAGCTTGACATAGGGACTTATACTGAGAAACTACTGGCACGGAGTTTTCGTTTCCCATTTTTTTCCCTTCAAAGAATTAGTAAATACGTTTTTGAAGCCTTAAATTCTAAGTAATGTTATAATTAGGAACTTCAATTTTTTTTTAAGAAAAGAAATAAATATTTAATTGAACAAACACCACTGACTAAACATCAGACTAATTATTTTGAAAAACTTCTTACCTTCCCGTAAAAAAATTCTCTTGAAATGTTTTAGTCCTGTTGACGGTTCCGTTTTGTTTTTATACTGAATTTTATATTAAGTACTGATGAGACCGTACAAGGAACTTACACTATTTATATGTATTAAGATAATTGTTTATCTTTTCCCGTTAAAACTTGAAATCGAAAATAGATTTTGGAAAACATTACGCCGACATTTCAGTAAACCCTCTTATCTTCAAGTTGCATATTTTTATTGAATAACCGGCTTATTTTTTTAACTTAGAATTCTTTTTCTTCTGGTATCATAGCATTCAATGTATCTTTTTTAGAAAAAAAAATATAATGCAAGAAAAAAGATTCCTGCAAGCAAGGATGGAAACGGGGGATCCCCAGTTTGAAAGTTGAAATTAAACATCTTAAACATGTTTTAAACATATTTTATCGGTATGATGGCAAAATCAGAGATGAACACTTGTTCTTATTTCAAAGAAATATATTTCCTCGGAGAACGATCTAATGTTTTTTACTTGTTTCTTTCTCCTTTTGCGATAATATTATTGAATTCGGTAGAAGGGCTTTGGACAGGCTGGAAGTTTGCATTATGTGTAAGGTAGATCCTATGTAAACTACGGAGTGGGACAACGTCAAGTAACTACAAAGTACATATAAGCCTTTTGCGACCCCCTTAAAGGAACTGAAAAAATAAGCAGAGAACCATGGTAAGATATATAACAAAATACGATATCAACACACCTGTTCTATCCTCTCATTGCTTAAAATACTATAGAAAAAATTTCGTGATTTTAGCTTATCTGTGTGAGCTTGGTCACAAAGCTAAATTGGTAAAATTGTTGTGTCATCCATATCAAATATATGACAGGAAAAAGAAGTGATTTAATAATTTTATAGCGAATATCCTTCTTTTTTTGGGGGGGTATATTAGAGGATATGTACTGTACTCTGATTTTAAAAAAAGAAAGCTGGGTGAGGGTCCAAGGATACTCTGCCAACCCTCTTCGATAGTGGTGATCTAACTGTCGATGTCCCTCTTTTGCAAAAATTATTGAATTTGTTTCAGCCTTTCTCATCATAATATATGGTATATAAGCTTTCAGTGAATCCAGACATAATCGCAAGCCAAGGGTTTTCGGAACATCCTGTGTGCCTTTTTTAAGAGGTTCCTGCCTTGGGAAAATTGAGTGAAGTGAAGAAGTATTGAAGATTTTATAAATCTCCAGTGGGATATTGCATTTTGAATGTTGATAAGTTGACTAAATATATGACATCGTAGGGTAATGGTCTAAATTAAAACTCTCTCTTTCTTCAATATACAAAGTTAAAACACCACAGGTGCAGAGCCCCTACGCTTTTGATCTTATTTGTGGAGATTATCACCTGATAGCAGCTTCATGAAAACAAAATTTGAAGCTTAAAAAAAATCAAATATGCATTTTTTTTTATTTTCAAGACGAAACACATTTTGACTTCAATTTTTAAAATTTTACAAAAGTACATCGACATCATAAAACACATATTATGAGGAAGGAAACATTGTACAGAACAGTAACCTAGATAATGCAGCGAATGATCATTTAAAGACGTGTTTCCTACAATATACAATAAGAGATAAGTAGAAAAGAAGGAAAAAGAGAAATTTTGAAAACTGTATTTGGAAAAAAATGTGGGTCATATATATTGAGCTTAAAAATTATATATATCAATGTATATAAAAGACAATCAACTTTTTATGGTTTTCACTGTATAATTTTCTCTTATAGATTGTACAGAATGAGTAAATGACCCTATATTTTAAATCATGTTAGCAGACAATTTAAAAAAAAATCATGCAGTAAGGTTTAAAGCAGACCCCCACTCCCCGTAAAAACTTAAAGAGAAAATCAATTATCAATAATTGTTTATTGTAAAATCTGCTACAGTATGTAATGAATATTGTTCTTGGAATGCTCTTAATCAATTTCCGTCAATGATAAAAGTGGCAAACATTTCAATTTTACTGACGCTAGGCATATTTAAAATTACGAAAAGGGGGCGAAGCCTGCTATCTACATGAAAACTAAACTATGGTATAATACAAAATATACACAATACAACAATTCTTTAGAATACCTCAAAATGAAGTGTTTTTTTTTTTCATATGAGTAACCTGTAGGAAAAAATCAAACTACATCAAAACTCACTACAGTATGTTGTTTTGTCGTTAGTTGAAACACACATAACAAGTTATAAACAAGTCACTGATCGCAATCCACTTGTCGATGTGTCGTCATTTCATATAACGGGACGCAGTTTGTATGTAGTTAGAGGGAGATCAAGTAATATTTTTTCAGCATAAATTTATTTTTTAATTAAATAAGGTATTATTTACAAATATTCTATGGGCCATTAACTAGGATTCAATACATTCTTCACAATTTTATTAATATATTTTCTGTATATTTCGTATGTTATTGATACTGTCGTATATTTTATGTAAGTACATCGTAGGGTAATGTGGGGGTCTTACATGTAATAAATCGTTCTAGTGAAAGGGCATACACTCAACTAATCCTAATGATCTGTTACAAATCAAGTCCAGAAGTATTACGGTATAAAAAAAATCTGCCATCGTGATGAAATCGTGAAAATAATTTAATTACATCAATATCTCATACCATTGACTAGTACAAAATACATCATTCTGTCAAAAAATTATGATTTTATCAATGAAATTTCAAAATATGGATAGGATCGCAGCACTTTTCAAAAACTACAATTCGTTTTGAAAATATTTATAAAATTATCTTAGAATTTTAACTTGGTATATACCCTTCTGCTTTTCAAGCGGGGATATATAGAGGATATTCAATGTTTTGTAGTTGAATATGGAATTTATTTCACGAGTGGGACAGGATTTTTTTATATTTTCACGTTATGCCCTTGCATTAGTGAAATGTATAGATGACCTCAATACTGCGAGTAATTTGCCATTTTTTTTAATGACTGGTTAATACTGTAAATAGGCCGAATATTTGATACAAAAGACCGTATTTAGAACCAAAGAAAAAATAACAACTGAAATACATTGATTAAACAAATGATAAAATTTGAAATATATAATATAAATATCATGTGTAATAAATATAATATAATATAAAACATGAAGATAACAAATAGAGATTTCAATCTCTAAAATCTATTGGAACAAAATATTTTAAAAGCAGATCAATTATAAAGCTCTAATACATCTAAAATATCAAACTCATCAGTTCTAAGGAAATATCCTTATATACAATACACGTATAATGAACAATTCCGCTATATTTTTTTTTTACCTAGACATAATATTTCCAACTGAAAGATACAAATAAGGAACAAGGAACTTGTTCTTTCTCTTCATGCTCGATTACACAAAAACTTTTCCACGCAAAAATGTCAGTAACTTTAAAACATTATGTTTGTACAATTTTAGAGGTACTTTTCAAAGACCTGATTTTGAATTGCTCCTTTGATGTTCCAACTTTATTTATTGCTTGAATAATTATCTGTTCATTTTGAAATAAAAAAGACATCTGATCACATTAAGACAAAATTAATATAAAAACTTGATATAAACAAAAGAAAGACACTCATTTCAGACGAATATGTTTGTACCATTTCATAATAACGTAACTCCGAAAGGAAAATATTAAAAGATATCCAAATAAAAAATAAAAAAAAGTTTTGTCTATTCCTCAAAAAATTCCTTTGAACTTCTAAATTAGAATTTGGATTATAATATTGTACAATTACATATGTTTTTTTTTATAATTTCATTTAATGAAAGATCAGAAATCCATATTTTTTCATTGAACGAGTTCCAAGTATCACATTAATCTGAAAGTTATCAGCACATTTTCAATTATTCTGACACTTTTGGCAGTACGTTTCAGTTTTTCAGCAATATATTTTTCGTTTGGTGATAGGATAGTAAATAATTGAATACACGTGGTTTCAATGAAATTTACGCAGGACGATCTATGTAAACAGATTTCAGGTGATGATTTCAGGTTACAGTTTTTTAAGCATTTTCCGGTATTTTGGTGGACAGTTAATGAATAGAACTTGGCTTATTTCATCCAACCCGTTTTTTGCAGCCAGGCTTATGGGTGTTTCATCATGTGCACTATGGCTAAAAATATCTGCGCCTTCTTTCACTAATAACTTAACCGTCTTTATATCGTTTTGAGAGCAAGCTATATGAAGCGGTGTCTGGCCAATCTCATCAACTGCATTAACATTTGCACCATGAAGAATTAAGCTCTCTGCAACCTGACTTAACCTCCTTTCTATTGCAACATGTAATGGTGTCTTTGCACTGAGATTAGCAGATAAAGACTTATCAAAAAGTAACTCAATTTTTTTTATTGGACAACTCTTCAAAAGATACTGAACAGTTTCTTCTGATCCTTTTCGGAGAGCGGCAGCTAGTGGAAGTTGTGGGGATAAATGTAATTTTTCAATATTACATTTCTCCAATAATGATTTAAACTTTTGATAGGGAGTTGTATACATGAAATCGTGTAATATTTCAACAGAGCCCTTCGTGATACTTATGAGCAGAGGTGTTTCGTTGTTTGAATTGTACATTTCTACCTCTGCTCCCTGTTTTAAAAGAATTCGGACGATATTTTTGAAATTGCTAGCGCAGGCAACATGTAATGGAGTGTCGCCATTTTCATCTCTAGCATTTATATTGGCACCACGAATAATTAATTTTTCAACATGTTCATTATAATCATGTTCCACTGCAATATGTAAAGGTGTTTTGCCTTTGTAAAACGTACTCGTGACGTCACATTTCTCCAACAACAATTTCATGTTTTCAGTAGAGCAGTTTTCCAAAAGGTATTTGACTATCTCCTCGAATCTTAGTCTAGCAGCAACACATATTGGGGATTCATTACTCAGTTCAGACATGATAATGTGCGCATTGGCTTTTACAAGTAATTTGACAGACTTCATATCATTAAGTGAGCAAGCAATATGCAGCGGTGTTTCATTTCTTTCATCTACAGCGTTCACGTTACACCCATAATCTACCAAGCTTTCAACAACGCTAATAAATCCCCCTTTTACTGCAAGATGTAAAGGGGTTGATTTGGAAGAAAAGTCGTTGTTTTCTAACAATAATTCAAAATTTTCAATAGGACAAATGCTTAAAAGATATTGCATCACTCCATCAAATCCACATAGTGTCGGGTGTATTTGAGAAAATTGCACATTTTTGAAACAACATTTTTGAAGCAAAAATTTGAATTTCTGAAAAGGACATGTTAACATAAAGCACATCAGAATATCCTGAAAACCATTATTCAAAGCAATAGATACAGGTGATTCGTTTTTTGAATTGAGCATTTCTATATTAGCCCCTTCTTTTATCATCACTTTCACGATATTTTGGTTGTTTGTTGAACAGGCAATGTGCAATGGAGTTTGTTTCTCAGCATCTGTGGCATTTTTGTCAGAACCACGATGGATTAATAATTCAACATCTTCAAAAAATCCATATTCTACTGCGAGATGTAACGAGGTCTTGCCATCAACAATAACACTTCCAATGTCACATATCTTCAAAAAATTTCTCAAATTTCTGGACGAAAATTTTTTGAGGAGAAGTCGCAAAATTCCGTCAGTATCATAGGATGAAGCAGAGTGTATAGAAACATGATCATGTACAATCGGTTTATTAGCATTTTCTGTGTTGCAACCGTTAATTGCTGATTTAAACTCTTGAAGAGGAATTTCAAGTAGTAGGTTTAGCAAAAGGTCCTCAAAACCGTTCATTACAGCAATTTGTAAAGGTAGCATTTCACTGTTGTTGAGCATGTTGAAGTTTGCACCTTTCTTTGCAAGCAATTTTACAATTTTTACATTGTTTTTTGAACAGGCTATATGCAAAGGTGTCTCCTTCATTTTGTCAGTGGAATTGACATCAGCATCACGACGAACTAAGTTTTCAGTTATGTCATTAAATTCATGTTCTATTGCTAGATGTAAAGGTGATTTTCCATCGTGACATGTTGATGAATGGTCGCATTTCTTTAAAAGTAATTTGAAGATATCTTTATTTGTTGATTTACTTGCAAAATAAAAAGGACAAACACATTCATTATTGCCTGTCACTAGAGCACGGTTTTGAAGCAGATATTTGACTATTTTATCTGACCCACTTTTAAGAGCAACGAATAATGGAAGTTCGTCTCTTTTGTTGCATTTTTCAATGAGTGCACCCCTTTCCACTAGAAGTTTTACAATTTCATATGCACTGAGTGAACACGCAAGAGTTAATGGAGTATGATCCGAATGATAGGGTGTATTAATACCTTCTTTAATTTCAAGTTTCGATAAAATTGATAATGTGAATTCAAACATATTTTTCTCTGTACTATATATAGAGAGCCAGAAAAGTCGTTTATGGTCTATCAGTGGGCCAGAAATCCATGAAGGTAATTTCTTTGACTTTTGTAGAAAAGCATTGACAAATGGTAGATGTCCGTTTAAAATAATCCAGTCAATAAGTTTTATTTTATCCTCATACATGCATATTGTGGCAACATTTCTTCTCCCAGTGTAATTCCCCATTATAAATTCTTGCTTTTCTAAATATGAACTTCCTCTTTTCTGCTTTTGCTCCTCCAATGTTGATTTTTCTTGCAATGTTTGGAATGGTTTTGAAAATAACTCAACAATGGTTTTCTTACCAATGGTTGTAAAGAACAACGTTACAAACTCAAGGACTCTCCAACACTTGTTAGAAAATATGGAATTCATAGTGCCTATTTGCACATTTAATCTGACATTGGCTTCCAGAGCAAGAAATAATCTTTGGGCCAATATTTCAAAATTTTGGGGAAGAATTCTTATCCCCATCTCTGTGCTGGCATCTTTACTTTTTTCAAGGTAAGTATTATTGGCTAAAAACTCTATGTTTAAATGCTGAAGAATCAATGCTTGGTTATCAACATCCTGCACCCGAAATGAAATGCCACAATTTCAAAAAGAGATTCGTGGAGAAATTTGTATCCAAAGTCTGTTTTGATAACATATGTATTTTCAGAATGCTGCAGTTTTTCGTGTATTTCTTTGCCATACGGGTGGTGGTCATAAAGTCCACATCTTTTATATATATCGGATAACATTTCTGTTTTCTTTAAGTCTTCTATTGTGCACCTGTTGTTGTTTATAACCAGAAACACTAACGATGCATACAGAGTTTTTGTCGTCTCCGATTTTCTCATAATGTCTAATTGTTTTAGAAGATAATCACGGGGATCTAAAACTACTTTGGAATCTACAGACATGCTTCTTCTATTCTTGTGCAACATATAACACATAAGGGGAAACATTAGGTTTACCCGATCTAAAGATGAAATATCAACCATAGTTTCGATATCGTATGCTTGTAGCAGTTTTCTTTTTTCATCTCTGTTCAAAAGACAGTCTTTGTCTTCAATATCAACGACGCTATAATTGTCAAAGATATGATATTGCTTAGCTTCATTGTATACAAATTTACGACATGTTAGTATAATTTTATGATCAGCATGTCTGAAAAGCTGCAAAACATCGCTATGGCATCTCTCGAAGTCTGATACTTTCCGTTCGTCGAGTCCTGGATTTCCAACTGGGTCATCAAACATAAATACGCACTTTGTCATAATTTGACCGCAGTTTATTTCTCTAATAGAATCAATGGGCACCACTTGCCATCCATCTCTTTGCAGTTTCAGGGCACAGTGTCTTGCTGCTGTGGTCTTACCAGATCCGCTCCTACCAATTATGAGCACTAGTTTTTCTTTTTTGACAACATCGAATGCTTTTTTCACAAAACGTATATCTTCGCAAAACACCCTGTCTTCTAATTGCCACCATGTTACAATTTCTGATTGAGGATCTGTAATATATGAATAGTATGCATGCTATGTGTTTTGAAAGCCTTTTTCATATCATTTTTAAATGCAAATGATATAGCATGAACATGTTCAATATGTAATTTTTTTTATGGATATTTCATTAGAAAAAAATGTAAAGGCGTAATATTTATTAGATTTTTTAGAAATCATTAATCCATTTATTTCAAGTCTCATCACAATTTTTTGCTTGAAATGTATCAGAAAAGTATAAACAATTTTCTACTATAAAATGATAAATTTTAAAAGAACCTTAAATTTTTTGAATGTTCTAAAATTTTATTTGAATTTCAATTTTATTGTAATCCTGTAAAGAAAAATATGAATACACTTTGTATTTAAATGGCCCTTAGTTGAAATGATAAATTGTATGCTATGTGCAATTATAAGGTTTTTGATTAATAATATTTTGCTGAAATATGTAACTGTGTCAGTATTTCTGACTGATCTATGTAAACTGTTTATTCGCATTATAAAATATTTTCATATTGCTTCTTATTGTTCTCTATGTATTTAATATTGTCTTTATTTTTATTATCTTTTTTATTTATTTATTTTATATTTTTGCACAAGAAGTGCACTGTTCAAATGTCTTTGGTAAACCTTTAAACGGAATTTGTTTATGGATATTTTCTGCTTCATTCTCCCTGTAGCAACAATATAAATATGATTATATGAAGAATTTGTAACTGTTTATATTAGATGAACTTACTTCTCATAATTCCGCTTTTCGAGTACTTTCTGTTTGTGACCTTTTCCATTTGTTCAAATTTCTTGTTTCGTAAGAAACATATGTTTCTCCGAAGGGTCCCTTTGCTGAGTCTATCAATTGCCTAAAACAATAATACACGTATTCTTCAAGAAAAACTTTCAGAGAGATCAAAATAACAATTTAATATGGAGCATTCGTAATAAAAAAAATTCATTTTCAAATGATAACAAAATCTGATGGTTAACGCTAAACATATGAAAGTTACATGAAGAATAACTGGTATTTAGAGTACTTTGAAAGACATATGATTCAATTTTGTTTTTAATAATATCTAGAGTCAAGTTACATGAGGGATAACTGGCAATTAAAGTACTTTGAAAGGCAGATGATTCAATTTTGTTTATAATAATATCTAGAGTCATAATTATTTATATTGTGTACTTATATGTACTTACGGTTGAATTACCTCAATTTTGAGAATTTTTCAATCATAATTTGCGTATAGGGTTGAAATTACAAACTTTGAGTCTTAAACATGCAAGTGAACCTGCAATAAGATAGAATCCGCGGGGTCCTGCAAAAGGGATTCAATCCCTTTAAGCAAGAATTAACCATTTAACTGACGACTTTCATGAAAAAATAAACATAAATTTTGTAGAGAGTTACAAAAACAAATGCAGAAATCTAGAATCTTAAAAATTGTGGAAAATTTACTGTTTTCTTATACTCTTGTACATTAATATTTGCAACAACAGTAGAATCATTAAATTTTCTGGGCAATAATTATCGTGGATTTCTCAAAGAAGAAACTTCATCAACTCCATAAAATGACTATGTACATAGATCATCAAACTAACCTCTACCGTTCATGGTAGCTCAGTCGGTAGAGCGCTCGCTCCGTGATCGGTAGGTCGTGAATTCGTATCTCGGCCGCGACTGACCTAGTCGTAAAAATGAGTAGAATATGTTCCTTCGCCATGCGCTCGGCACTTTGAAGTGAAAGTTGCGGGTCCTTCGGATGAGACCTTAAAAACCGAAGCCCCGTGTCAGCGGCAGGTGTTAGCACGATAGAGATCCCTCACTGCTCAATGGCCCTGAGTGTCGAGTAAAGGTCAAAATTTGAAGCCCTTCAACGGCATATGGTGATGTCTCCATATGAGTGAAAAATTCTCGAGAGGGACGTTAAACAGTATACAATCAGTCAATCAATCAAACTAACCTTATATCATTGTGTCACTAAAACATCAATATGAAGCCGAAAGAATTTTGAAGAGAAATGGGCACATTCACTTAATGAATTAGGCTCTGACACATTTTTTTTTCATTTTATGATTAAACATTCTAACTCTAGATACATCCTAGAAAGGGGTTACGCATTAAAGTACCGACCGAACACAACCTAACACCAGAGCGAACCCAAAGAGGAACCCGGGTTCGCTTTGCGGGTTCGCTCGGTGTCCGCTTCGGGTTCACTTTCAGAAATTTTGGGACCGCTGTGTGTGCGCCTTGGGTGCGCTCAGGGTTCGCTCCGCGTTCGCTCATGGTCAGCTCTGGGTCCAATATAGCGTACCTGGCGTTCGCTCTCTGGGACAACTTTGCGCAATGATGCGTGAAGCGGACCTCGCTTTAATCGCACCGCCAGTAAGCCCCCACCCCATGTATATTCCAGTACAGTAATGGTATTTTGGAATCTATCATTGTTGTTTTGGCGGTGATCGATACATATACACATTTCGTGTATACAGTGAAATTATGGAGAACATTGATAAATTTTCTAAAATTCAAGTGTACATTCGACGTAGATTTTTAATTAATATTTCATTGATTTCTCTGCACTCGGAATTTCGAAAAATGTTATTTAACAGCGGGCTGTAAAACATTCCTTTTTTAATTCATAACGAAAAACAAAAACGGAAGAGGAAGAAAAGGTGATGAATTGATTTTTAATGTATCGAATGGTGTACAAGTGAAACTGACGAAAGCATCTAAACTAAACAGTTCAAATTTATGCCTTACATACATTTAGTTCTAAATAATATTTGTTAGTCTTTATGTTTTGCTACATCGTAGTTTTAGTGTTTGAAAAACACTGAATTATGATATCTATAAATTAGCCTATTGTAGACGTAATATATTTAGGTTACTTTATAGTAGTTACACATTGAATATTCGAAATGTATATTTACCGGCCTTTTCTAAAAAAGAAAAACAAATATATTATATCAGATCTTTATTACGATCAGAATTATGGAGCGAGTATGATTTTTATCAGAATGAAAAAATTAAAATGACAATTAATAATTGTTCTCCCGATAAGAATATTAATATGCTGTACCCCCTACTTCACATACACACCTTAATGAATTTAAAATTATTTTAAAAAATATTTTTCAATATTTAAATATTAATAAATATAGGAAAATCAAGACAAAAAAATATTTCCTAACAGTAAACTCGCATCGTTTAACTAAATTTTAATAACAAAGCCTGATGTTATTTTAGAAATTTCTATGGGTCGTCCTACCCATTCTGTACTCGAATTATTTTCTATCAGACTAAAGCAGCTTATTTCGTAATAATATACATGCCAAATGTACATTGAAATTTTTCATGCCCAATTAAGAAGATCAATAATTTTGATGTGAGATTTGATTAATATGAAAAACCATGTTAATTGAGACAATGGAAATAAAATAATTGTATAATGGGCACGTACATGTACGCTCGACATATTCTTGTACTGTATCTTGAGATAATAAAATTATACGATTTGTCAAAGACCAGTTATTTTTTTTTTTTTTTTTGTCCGTTTATTTTATTAAAAATTGAATTGTCAATTTTTTTTTTTACTCATTGACTGATATGTTTACCCAATTTATATTAATTTTTATCAATCAATACTGCTAAAAAAATAATAATAAACTAGATGAGATCTCGTTGCGAGCAACGAGTAGGTCTTCCGTCCGATGAGATATGATTCTGACTATGATATTTGTTACAAAATAATATCAAGACTTCTCTCACTTGATGAAATTCTTTTGATTTATTCAACAATCTCAAATACTTATAGATGAAAGTGATTTGGGCCCTCTCGGCCCCTAACTTGAGGGGCCAGACCCTTTTCTTGATTTCAAATGAAAGGTCTCGTGATTTTGAACACTTTTTGTTCAAGACCTATTCACAGATCTATTTTCGTTAAAGAGATATCTTGCATGAAGATATTTAGGGGCCACCAATTCAATTCCTTAATGGGGCGATTTTACAATATTTAAAACGATGCATATTGTTTGGAACATTATTCTGACCATCCTTTATTCAACATTGCTTATATCAAAATATTTCTAATATTCGAGATATAAACCGACAAACACTTCATATTCTGACCCCTTGTGACCCCTAATTTCGTAATATATGATTAAAATTTTATACGATGTTGTTGCATTCGTTAAGATGAATACCTTTTAATCGGTAATGTATTACAAAATATAGATCATCAAAGAGTTATAGATGAAAGAAGTTTGGCCCCTCTGAGCCCCTATTTTGAAGAGTCAGCCCCTTTTTCTTGATATCAAATGAAAGGGCTTTTAAATTCAAAGACTTTTTGTTCAACGCTTATTCAGAGATTTCTCTCAGTTGTGGAGATATGCTGAATGGAAATATTTAGGGGCTACCCCTGAACGTCCTTAATGGGGCCATTTAAAAAAATTCACAGTCTGCATATTGCTTAGAACATTATTCTGGCTATCTTTTGTTCAATATTGCTTATCAAAATATTCCCCCCTTTTGAGATATAAGGCGTCAAAGATTTGACATTCTGGCCCCTTGTGACCCCTAATGACGTAGCATATTATCTCAATTTTATAATATATTGTTGCAAATCTTTAAGATGAATATCTTTGCTTCAGTAATATTTAACAAAATATCGATCATTATAGAGTTATAGATGAAAGACTTTTGGACCCTCTGAGCCCTTAATTTTAGGGGTCAGTCCCTTTTTCTTGATATCAAATGAAAGGTCTTGTTATTTAAAAGATATTTTGTTCAACACTTATTCAGAGATTTCTTTTCGTGGTGAAGATATGTTGAATGGAAATATTTAGGGGCCATCGCTTCAAGTCCTTAATGGGGCCGTTTTACAAAAATTCAAAGTATGCATATTGTTTAGAACATTATTCTGATCATCTTTTGTTCAATATTGCAAATCAAAATATTCCCCCTTTTTGAGATATAAAGCGTCAAAGATGTGACATTCTGGCCCCTTGTGACCCCTAATTACGTAACATATGATCAAAATTTTATAAGATATTGTTACAAATTTGGAAGATGAATATCTTTGCCTCTGTAATGTATAACAAAATATTGATTAATAAAGGGATATAAATGAAAGAGTTTTGGTCCTTCTGAGCCCCTGATTTGAGGGGTCGGCCCCTTTTTCTTGATTTCATATGAAAGGTCCCGTGAATCTGTACAATTTTTCTTCTATATGTTTTAACAAATTATGAATAGATACGAAGATATAAAACAAAAGATGTCAAATTTTGTGAGATGTTTCCGAGACATGTTTTTGGCTCTAACAGGCTTCGGCGCCTTTTGTGCTATGAAAATTTGGACGCCTGCCTGCAACTCAGCGAACCTTTCCTTACTTTCACTGAAAATCTTGAGTCAATATTTTAAGTGGTTCCGGAGGAGTTTTCAGGACAAGCCTACCCTCTAAAAATCAGAAAATCATCCATATCTCACGACCGGAAGTGACGTCATCGACGACTAAAATTTCCGACAAGGTTCAGATAAATATCTATCAGATCTGAAAGTTTAGTGAAAATCGGTCAAGCAATTTTCGAGAACTCGCGTGCACAAAATCGGTAAGAAAAAAATAGAATAACTAGGAGACTTATTGTTCACAGAACAATAAGAGGTCTTTCCACCTTCTTTGAAGTTAAATTTTGAATCAAATAAAATGAAAGAGAAATCAAAAGTGACTTAAAAATAAAAAATGGAAATCTTTTTAAAAAATGAAATGATATTGACCTTTGACCTTAATCGGATCTTTCAGGTCAAAAGTCAAGGGTCAAATTGTAATAAACCCCATGCCTCTTTGACTTAAACTTTTAAAGTTACAAG